GGACACTATTGCTCCCATTAAGGTGAAGGTTATCTCTGGAAGGAAAAAGTCTCCATGGAGAAACTCCACACTGGTGAAAAATGAAAAAAGAGAGTGTAGGAAAGCTGAGCGCAGATGGAGAAAAACAAACCTCCAGGTTCATTATGACATTTATAAAGAGAAACTTCACAATTATAATTTACAACTGAGGAGTGCAAGGAGGTCCTACTTCTCTGACATCATCACTAAAAACAGCCATAATGCTCGGGTCTTATTTTCTACAGTTGACAGGCTAACAAACCCTCCTGTGCCAGTGGCAGCTGAACTTCATTCGACCATGGCCTGCAATGACTTTGCCAAATTGTTCACTGAAAAAATCCAAAAAATTAGACAAGCAATTGGTACATCAACAGCAGATCCAGGATATGTACTGTGCCCACCAAAAAACTGTTTAAACACCATGAAACAGTTTCAACCTATTAACAGCAAAGACCTGGAGGACATCTTAGGTAAACTGAACTCCTCCTCCTGCTATTTAGATGTCCTGCCAACAAGTTTTTTCAAAAAGGTCTCAAAGACTTTAGAGTCAGACCTGTTACAGATCGCCAACTTTTCTTTATTATCAGGTGTGTTTCCAGAATCACTAAAAACTGCTGTAATCAAACCTATACTGAAAAAGGACAATCTTGACAAGACACAAATGGACAACTACAGGCCGATCTCAAATCTCCCGTTTTTAAGTAAGATCATTGAAAAAGCAGTTTCTCAACAGCTCAGTTACTTCTTAAAACAGAATAATTGCTATGATGCCTTCCAGTCAGGTTTTAGACAGAACCACAGCACTGAAACCGCTCTGACCAAAGTGTTTAATGACATATGTCTGAATACAGACAGTGGAAAAATGTCAGTCCTAGTTTTACTGGATCTCAGTGCAGCATTTGATACAGTTGACCACAACATATTACTCAAACGACTGGAGAACTGGGCAGGTCTTTCAGGAACTGTACTAAACTGGTTCAAAACATACGTAGAAAACAGGAAATACTTTGTATCAATAGGTAACTTCACATCTGAGCAGACAAGTATCACATGTGGAGTTCCCCAAGGTTCCATCTTGGGACCCCTTCTGTTTAACATCTACATGCTCCCACTGGCACAGATTATAAACAACAACAAAATAAACTATCACAGCTATGCAGATGACACACAAATATATATCACAATGTCACCAGGAGACCGAGGCCCTGTACAGGCTCTTGGTAAATGCATTGAGGAAATCAATGACTGGTTGTGCCACAATTTTCTCCAGCTAAACAAAAACAAAACTGAGGTAATAGTCTTTGGCGCCAAAGAAAAACGATTACAGGTCACCAGAGAACTTCAATCTATACATCTAAAAACCACAAACCAGGCGAGAAATTTGGGTGTAGTGATGGATGCAGACCTAAACTTAGAAAAACACATTAAGACAATAACAAAGTCAGCTTACTATCACCTCAAGAATATATCAAGGATAAAAGATCTGATGTCTCAACAGGACCTGGAAAAACTAGTCCATGCATTCATCTTTAGTAGGCTTGATTACTGTAACAGCATCTTTACAGGTCTACCTAAAAAATCAGTCAGACAACTACAGCTCATTCAGAACTCTGCTGCTCGAGTCCTCACTAAGACCAAAAAAGTGGACCACATCAGTCCAGCTCTGAGGTCCTTACACTGGCTGCCTGTCCGTCAGAGGATAGACTTTAAAGTTCTGATGCTGGCCTATAAAGCTCTGAATGGTTTAGGACCAAAATACATCAGTGACCTCCTAACCCAGTATGAACCATCCAGATCCCTCAGGTCATCTGGATCCGGTCTTTTATCAGTTCCCAGAGTCAGAACCAGACACGGAGAAGCTGCATTCAGCTTTTATGCTCCTTATATCTGGAACAAACTCCCAGAAAGCCTCAGATCAGCTGAAACACTCAGTTTATTTAAATCCAGGTTGAAGACTCACCTGTTCTCAGCTGCATTTGAATAAAGCACCAAATCCACACTTTAAGCTTAAATTTCAAAACTTACATTTAACTACTGATTTTATCTGTTTTGATTTTATATACTGTTGTTTGTTTGTTTGTTTGTTTGTTAATTAGTTAGTTAGTTTATTTGCTTGTTTTAATCAATTTTAAATCATGCTTTTTATTTGTTCTTGTTTCTAATGTCTCTGTAAAGCACTTTGAATCACCTTGTTGTTGAATTGTGCTATACAAATAAACTTGCCTTGCCTTGCACACAGCTGATACCACGAACGTCGCACTAGCTTATGTCACTGTCATGAGACACTCTCGCAAACGAAATCACGGTTTAGTAACGCAGTAACGCAGCGTACTTACGGGAAAGTAACAGTAATCTAATTACCTTTTTTGCAATAGTAATCCCTTACTTTACTCGTTTCTGATCAAAAATGTTCTTTTCTTTTGTCAGAAAACTTTTTGCATGAAACAGGTTTGCATGATTAAACTCTCTTGTTGTTATAACAATGCTGTCACGATCAGCTGATATATACTAGGTACCTAAGTGACGTAGCTTGTTCATAGCTAACCTAGCTGCAGTTACCAAACTGATTACTACTATCTGCTCTGAAGTCGGCAGAATATGGGCTGTTCTGATGACACAGTGCTTCAAACTGCGCTAAATAATGTGCAATTGAAGCTCATCTGTTTTGTTATTATGTGACTGTGTGTTGGCAAGCAAAAGAACCGGGAATGCCAATTTGTAGGGGATAGCCTTTGGCTTAGGTTGGAGTCCCCTTCCCTTCCCCCTTTTTTCTGTGTCTCTGCTGTCGACACAGACAGCCGGGACTCCTGGACTTTCTGCTACATCAAATGATGCAACTATGGTGTTGAAGTAAGCCACTTAGCCTCTTTTATGACATTAGGCTTGAAGACCCACTTATGGTTCAGCCTGGAGGAGGTTTGTTGAGTTGGTGGAAGAAAGTGTTGATCCACTTCTAAGACAAAAAATCGATCTATACAACGGTAAATCTAAATTAAAGGAAATTTATACTGTGGTGTGCTTCATAGCATCTGCTTTCTCCTTGGTAGGAGAAACCTGTCAGCACCACAGGTCCAGTTGGGCACTCAATATTTCTGAATAATCTTCCTGTAGCATCTTTGTATATAACTGTTGGATCAGACATGTGGGAATGCTAATGAAACAGGCAAAAATTAACATTCCCTTTTGGGAATGTTAAGTCCCAAATTAACATTGTTAATGTTGTTTTGGGAATTCCCAAAAGGAAAATGCTAATTGTTCAAGGAACTGTCCTTCACCTCCCTTATTTATGCAAATTCAGTAAACTCCAGGCTCAGATCAGATTTTTACAACAGAAAAACAAAGTGCTGTTTTTCCATCAATATGAGCTTGTAAACTGTTATTAAGCAGTTATTGTGAAAACTAGAAACAGTTTGCTGAGCTTCTTAACTTAAATGATCATAGAAGGCAGCTAATCAATCATCTGTACAAATTACTTCTTCAGTCCTGGAAACAAACAATGCTGAAACATTCTTTGTAGTTGTGTCGTTGTGCGTACAGCAGCTCACAGCAGAGTCTTTTCAGCTAAATCAGACATTTCTTAGGACGTTTCCTGCTCAGCCATCTCTAATTTGCATAAAAACACATTATAGTCCAGATTTCACATATAATGATTGCTGTGAAATTTTTAATTCATATACTTATGCATATATGTTACAAAAGAAGCATGTGGAATCCTTTTAACATGCCATTTATTTTTCATGCTGGATTAAGCAAATATGATCGGTCCTCCTTGGTGTGTGCTTGGCTCCTGCGAACACTGTCCCCAATCTCTAAAGTTCTGTTGGTGATGGGCCTACAGCAGGGTGGGCCCTTTTTTCCTTTACTTTAGTTTTTTAAAATGTGCGTATGTGTCCTTAACCTTTCTTTCAACACCTATTTACCTGTAAAATAAGCTGGTGCAAGATGTTCATTATTAATATTTGCTTTATTTAATCAAAAAGTAGAAAATCAGGGATGAAATTACAGATTGTTCCTCAGTCTTTTTAGTTTTTAGTATCAACTCAACAAAAGAAGCAGATTAAATACTAACCATCAGTCGATATTACACCTTGAGTTTCAGTCTGAAATGACCACAGTCTTGATACTTTTGGTTTCTGGTGAAGAACGTCCAACACATACCATGGAAACGTTGATCCTCCAAACAGAGCAAGGCACCTGTGCAAACAAAATCCATATCACTGCAGAAGCTGCATGTCAGTTATCAAAGCTGAATAGAAGTCATAAAAAGTACTCTGATGATCAGCCATCCTGGAGCTTATATATCCCTATCCTGCACCACAGCACTGGAATTGCCATTCAGATTTTCCCAGATCCCAATCCACTAGATGTGCCAGGACAAGCCCACCTGGAAATCTGCAATGCTTCAAGAGTTATGAGCTGGTTTGCCAGTTAGTGGGGAATTTGACCAAAACTGGACAGGTGGTTTGAATATTTTGGCTGACTGGTGTATATAACAATATTATCTACATACCTGTCAGTCTGCCCCAGGGCAGCTGTGGCTACAACCCTAGCTGCCTCCACCAGTGTGTGAATGGGTGGATGACTGGGTGTGTAAAGCGCTTTGGGGTCCCTAGGCGGGACTAGTAACAGCGCTATACAAATACAGGCCATTTACCATTTACCATTTACATACCCTTCTTTTGACACATCCATCCATCCATGGTCATTTTTATTGTAATAAAAAGTTAAAATACAATAATGCTTTAATAGGAAAACTGCTGCTGCTTACTTGTTTATTTCACCAACAAACACATCTCCACATTCTTGATTCAGCTACCTAGAACTTCTCTCAGGTCTTTGTAAAACAGCATGAGAGATGAGTGAGCAGGGCGGGTGGACAGGATGTGTGTGTAAATGTGTGCATAAACTGCTTGTGTGTGTAAGAGAGAATGAGACAGGCAGAGAAAGAGCCGAGAGAAAGGGAGGCGCTACATTACCCGGCATACAGCAGCAGGAGCAGGCTGGGCTTAGGGATCTATTGTTCCCTGTTTTATTACTGCAAGAGCTCATTCGCACTCATTAAGTAGCCAGGGGAATAAGAGAAACCCAGAGGGAGAGGAGAGCGTGAGGAAACCTCACCCTCGCTTGCTCAGGATTACTTCTTGGATGCGGTGGCGTGGACAAAGCAGAAAATTCACTTGAGTGCCGCTCTCTACCTTGTGGCCAGGCTCACATTTTCCTCTCGATTGCATTGGGAACAGCAGTATTTGCCGTGCGGTGGCCATGGGGACGGCCGGCAGAGGTATCAGGATCCAAGAGGTCTTGAAAGGAGCCCCACTCCTCTCTCTCTGGACGTTAGCGCTGCTGTTTTTATCCATGTGGGAACTGGATGCACAAACTGCAGTGGAAACTCGACCCATGTACATCTGGCGAACAGGTACAGTCCATCCTCTCTGCTCGTTCAGTCCTGGTCCCTGAGACACTGAGTGACTGGATGGATGTTCTAACCTTACACTCTCGCTGAAATATTCATATGCAAATGTTTGTGTACATAACACAGTACATAAGGGGAAATGAAAAGGGTGAACATGCTCTTTTTTGTTTCTTTCACTTTTTATGATTGGATCAATATATCTCATAAATTAATATTTTTTTTAAACCAAAAGTTTATTTTCTCATGGTCTTTTTGTGGTTAATGCACTGGAGCCATCTTGCTACACTAGAGTTTGATAACATATTTGCTGCAGTCCCTGAAGTGAATGGGGGTTTTGCCCCCGTTTGGGGGGTGGAGATGTGCATTGTGCTCCAGTCTTTTTGGCAGAGCACTCCCCCAGACAGAGACAGCTGGAACACTTTGATTGCCTTATGCTGCTATTGGACTCATTTGTCACATTTTTAGATGTGTGCAATTGATAAGAAATTGTGTGTGTAGCAAAGCTGCATATGTTACTATGTTTCTGAGTGGGGAAAAATGGAAGCTAGCTGCGAAGGAAGCGACACAAACACAAATAGTAATTGACTATTGATGCAGGTGTTTTTGGTATCTGCTGATGACTTGTGAGTACAGCAGCTTTACAGTCTAAACACAATACAAGGATCCTCACTGCTGCTGTTTAGGGTGGTGCCTCTCACCATCCAAGGTTCATTCACTCTGTGAGAGCAGCACATGGCCAGAAGGACACAAGGGAGAAAGAGGGGAGGAGGATAGAGGAGGAGTGATGAAAGCAGAAATTGGGGGTGGAACTGTGTTGACCCATTGAGACAAAGGTGCCCTTTAGGGGCAGCTGGAGATGAATGTTCTCTTTCTCTACTGTCTAATTTCTCTTTCTCTGGATCAATGTCCTGGTTTCACTGGGATTCTGCAACCGCTGTACCACCAGTGACTGATCAATGAACATAACCCGGCAGTAAAGCTCAGCCTGCATGAGATCAACTATGGCTTTTGATGAAGTCTAAAATATGATCTGCAATCATTTGTTTATGAAGAATAGCATGTGCAGCGTAGTAATCATCCGTGGGGTTGAAATAAAAATATTTCCGAAAAAATCTTTTAAAGAATGTTCTGCAATGTTTGCGTCCCCTAATTGGTTAAGATTCCCAGATGTGTATTCGGGACACCAGGAAAAACATTCACAATAAATTATTCCTTTTTTCTTTATACCAGCATCTGTGTAACATCTATTGCTGTAAAGTTTCTTTTCATTTTTATGTGGAAAATGATGGTAGCAGGTTGATGGTACATGTGCTTTCACCTGTTTTGTTTACTTTTTCTTTTGTTTGGTGAGTTTCCTCCTTAGTAGAAGTGAGACACCAGTATTGCTTAATGGTTTTTCTTTTAGAGCTGGTTTTATGCTATTTCACACTTGGACTACTTTCATTTAACGATTACCCTCATTTTACTTTCTGATTAGTTGGATTTATGCATCGAAATCATCGTCTCTTTAATGGAAAAGCTTCTTTTGTTGCTCCTGACCTGCTCAGGTAATTTTGCTCTCAGACTGGCCTCTATTTATAATAATTTAGAATACTGATTTTGTTGTGAACATTATCCGTTTTTTAACACAGTATAGGATATAAAATAATTTTAACCAGGTCTGACTTCACAAGATAACACTAGACGTGATTGTGTGCACTTTAAAAAATTATTTCCTTCAAACTGAGACTTTGTTTCCTTTCCCCTTCAATCTTCGGGCAGCGGGTTACTCCAGTATAAAAACACAACAAGATAACACACAAATAGGTCACACTCACTATACGTTCTCATCAAAGATCATTTATTTATTCCTGTCATAGCTGTTGTTTACAAGCTTCATTGTTCACACCATGTGCAAAGGAATGGAAATCCTTTTGTATTATGTGCTGTACCTCCCACTGTGTTAAAGCAGCGGATGAGATTAAGGGCAGAGAAACCAGAGCAGATTGGCCAGACAAAGTTAACCTAGATACGGTATAGACATGTTTGTGTGGCGTCTCTCTTCTTGGCCTAAGTGTGTCTGTGCTTGGCACTTGGGTGCAGCTCTTGTCACCCTGACAGAACAATGGCAGCAGTGTAGAAAAAAACAGTCAGTGTTTTTGTGCATGCTGGGGTGTTACTGCCTAATCGGGTTCTTGTATGATATTAATAAATTCTCATTTCATCATTTTATTATTTTTACATTTATTCCATGTTGTCAGATTAGGAAGTATCAAAACCCTTGGCAGTCCTGATCCTTTCCCACAATAAATAAAGCCGCCTGCTGAGATCTCAGGAAAAGAGTTATTTTGAGTGTCAAATTCTGTATGAACAAATGTCCTGGTCACTTATAGGCAGGGTTTTAATAGTTTTGCAGTTTTCATTAGTATTTATTTTTATTTAGTTTTGACTTCAGATTTTCAATTTTGTATCAGGTTTTATTAGTTTTTACCTTTTGTTTGCTAGTTTAGTTTTTATTTTTTTTAAACCCTTAGTTTCAGTTATAGTTTTCGTCGTGTTTGCAACAATGAAGTGTAACAAAATCCCAGTTTCATCATATCAGTCATGCTCTTCTGCTTATCCTTGGGTATGTTGCTCTTCCAGCTACCATACCCTGCACCCTGGACAGGTCGCCAGTCTGTCGCAGGGCTAACACGCAGAGACAGACAACTCACATCCCCACCTATGGGAATAAATAAATAAATGAGGGCAGATGAACAACCATTGATAGCAGGCAACTATAAGATATATATCTTGGCCCCAATGAGACTATTACCTCTTGCAGCTCCGGGTGAATTGCTAAACTTTTTGAAGGCAAAAAGTTGTGTAGATATCCCAGTCTCAATAAACATATTCACCAATGCTTCCTCTCGCTTGTGATGTTCCTGCGAACGGACCAACCAGCAGCCATCGGCTCGCTGTTGGAAGCACTGCATTAATGGTTTTTGTGGAGTTGTCTCGGGATGCTTCACGCTGCCCGGGGTTAGCTTCTGTTTCTGGGGATGAGGCTTGGGCGTGCTCCCTTACCTTCTCAAGCTAAGCTAGGTTAGCCTTCTTGTGTGAGCTTTTCAAAGGTTCCCTTTAGAAATGTTCCGCATAATTTGTCTCTTTCCACTACAAGACACTTGCTTTATCTAAAACGCAATCATATTCAGAGTAATATGAAATTGGACTCTGGCGATTTCTCCCGACTTTTGCTGACGTGATTCTGCGCGTGGACGGAGCAGCGACACAGACGACTCGACTAACGTACTGCCCCCTGCTGGCACAATGAGACACAGCAAGAAAAAACCTGGAAACTACACTTCACTTTCACCCGACGCTATTGAAAACTAAACACATTTTCACTATAAATCCAGTTAATTTTAGTTAGTTTTGTGAACGCTCATTACAGTTTTAGTTAGTTTTCCGTTTTTTGCAAAGTCTTGTTTTTATTTTTATTTCCGTTAACGAAAATGTTTTTTCACTTCTAGTTTTCGTTAACGATAATAACCTTGGTGATAGGGAAAGGAATCGATCCCTCTTCTGCTACAATCAGCTGATTTCAATGTGTGCCAGAGGAGGAGGTTACAGTCTACAGCATGGATATTATTTTACAATGGATGGGTACTATTTTATATAATTTTATATTGCTTTCTCCTGGGAGTAATTAAGTAACATACACGTCTAATGCATGAGTTTTTTTTTTTACAAGCTAACATTTATTAGAAGAGCTTGTTTTTGACAGACTTCACCTAACCATGCAGCCTGCCTTAAGTCTGAACTGAAAAATGAAGAGATTCAATTCAATTCAATTCAATTTTATTTATATAGCACCAAATCACAACATAAGTCGCCTCAAGGCGCTTCATAGATACAGAGAAAAACCCAACAATCATATGACCCCCTATGAGCAAGCACTTTGGCAACAGTGGGAAGGAAAAACTCCCTTTTAACAGGAAGAAACCTCCGGCAGAACCAGGCTCAGGGAGGGGCGGCCATCTGCTGCGACCGGTTGGGGTGAGAGAAGGAAGACAGGATAAAAGACATGCTGTGGAAGAGAGACAGAGGTTAATAACAGATATGATTCAATGCAGAGAGGTCTGTTAACACATCAGTGAGTGAGAAAGGAGACTGGAAAGGAAAAACTCAATGCATCATGGGAATCCCCCGGCAGCCTACGTCTATTGCAGCATAACTAAGGGAGGATTCAGGATCACCTGGTCCAGCCCTAACTATATGCTTTAGCAAAAAGGAAAGTTTTAAGCCTAATCTTGAAAGTAGAGATAGTGTCTGTCTCCCGAATCCAAACTGGAAGCTGGTTCCACAGAAGAGGGGCCTGAAAACTGAAGGCTCTGCCTCCCATTCTACTTTTAAATACTCGAGGAACAACAAGTAGGCCTGCAGAGCGAGAGCGAAGTGCTCTAATAGGGTGATATGGTACTACAAGGTCATTAAGATAAGATGGGGCCTGATTATTTAAGACCTTGTATGTGAGGAGCAGGATTTTGAATTCAATTCTGGATTTAACAGGAAGCCAATGAAGGGAAGCCAAAACAGGAGAAATCTGCTCTCTCTTTCTAGTCCCTGTCAGGACTCTTGCTGCAGCATTTTGGATTAGCTGAAGACTTTTCAGGGAGTTTTTAGGACTTCCTGATAATAATGAATTACAGTCGTCCAGCCTGGAAGTAATAAATGCATGAACTAGTTTTTCAGCGTCACTCTGAGACAGGATATTTCTAATTTTAGAGATGTTGCGCAAATGGAAGAAAGCAGTCTTACATATTTGTTTAATATGTGCATTGAAGGACATGTCCTGGTCAAAAATGACTCCAAGGTTCCTCACAGTGTTACTGGAGGCCAAGGTAATGCCATCCAGAGTAAGAATCTGATTAGATACCATATTTCTAAGCTTTTCAGGGCCGAGTACAATAACCTCAGTTTGATCTGAATTAAGAAGCAGAAAGTTAGCGGCCATCCAGGTCTTTATGTCTTTAAGACATTCC